TCATATAAAGGGTTACCTCCTGACAGTGTGCTTTCATAGAGCATTTCTCTTTCCTGCCCCTACCAATAGCTTTGACAGTAACACTCCTGCATTTAAGAGCTTGCCAAGGGCCTTAGTCATAGATGCATCCTTGACGTTCAGAGATTTCTTGCCTCGGCTTGTTGGGTGGAGGAAGTTCTCTTGTAGCAGCTGCTTGCTGCTGTCATTTACTCCTTTCCCAGATATGCTAGTGGCCACGTATTGGCAATCTTTATAATATTGAAAAGATTGACCGGCTCTGCTTACACATTTTGGTTATGAGTGATCAGTTATAAGGACTGTATCTTCAGAACAATCCACGCATTTGTACAATGCTGGATCTTGAAATAAAATACTTAAACCCCACACAAGTTCTTGCTTTGTCTGTCTTTGTTCTTTCCACTGTACTGTTCTACTTCAATTGAAGTAGCAGATGTGAGGCACCATGATAGTGTCAATCGGTACCTGTACCTTGAAGCATTCCATCCCGCTGCTTTTGCCTATTCGCTTCTTGCTTAAAGATTCTGCAAGAGGCAAAAATATCCCGTCGGCAATACAGAGAAATGTTGCAGACCAACTGCTGAATTTGTACCAGAGCTCTTCCTCAAGAGAGGGGTTAAAATAGGACGTTTCTCCTTGCTAAAGTATTCAGGTGCGGTTGGAAAGCTTGGGTAAGAACTGAATGCCCCCACTTCCTTATCTTGCAAAAGCAAATCAAGGGTAGATATTAGAACCCCTATATGAGGGTACCATCTCTGGTGGCAAATAGCTCTCTTTGGAAACCAGGTCTGTAGCACCCTGCACATTTCATTCCATCAGTCCCCAAATAAATATTTGCAAGGAAGGTATTGTTTCCCTCACTGTCTCCCAACCGAAGTTTGTTAAGGCCTATAAAAAAAGTAAATTGCTAATACAGTAGCTTGTGTGCGTGTGGCGAAGGTCATGAGTCCTCCTTTTTTTTTTCTTCTTTTTTTTTTTTTTTTTTTTGAGGTGCAGGATTTACAAATACCACTTGCAGTGGAGAAGCTAGAAGGTTCTGTTTTATCGATAGGGGATGCCATTCAGATTTTAGTAACTGGACTTTTTTAAAAAAATGTAAAAAGTGTTTTTCATTTAAATCCCTGGAGGGAAATATGAAAGTCAACAGGTGCTGGGGAAAAATGTCTCTGCATATTAGAACTTAATTGGATTTGAAGATGCGTTCCAGGTGGGCTAATTATATGGGTGGTATAGCAGGTTGTTTCTTGCACGGGCAGATCTACAAGTTGGTTTCATTGGATTTGATCTTGCTCTTTGCAGCCTTTTCAAGATTAAGGGCTGGCCCGTAGAACAGCTGCTCATCATGTTCTGCTTGGCTGAGTGCTGCAATGTAGAGCTAGAAGTATGGGAAGTGTCCCTAGAAAAGGCATAGGCGCCTTTTCCTCCCTTTACACCCTGGCCCCCAAAAGGGAAGAGGCATGGGATGAAATCCTGTGGAGCACAATGAGTACTGACTGCTCCTGTAGAAAAGCGCAAGATTCCCCAAATAAATGCTGTGAAGACATGCCCATAAAAAAGAAATGGGCTTTTAAGCTAGTAAATTCCATCAGAAAAATTCCATCCTCCTCCCCTATCTCCTGCTAGAGCTCAAGATATCTAAAGGTTCAAGCCCCTGGGCTTGTTGCCGAAGATATTACAACACCAAACAGTCTGTCTTATTTGAGAAATGAAAAGTATCTGTGAGTTTTTCCTCTATAATCAGCATTTCTTTAAAAGAATGCCTACAGGCTTATCATGTTTTGGGCAGGTGTCTGATTGGAAATGCCATGGATTTTCCTACAGTGAGAGAGGTCGATGATAATTAATAATATGCTGCGTGTTTCCGCTTATGTATAAACAGCTGCTTTTTTCCATGAATCTTTCTAGTCATCTTTACACACAAACTGGGTTGATGAAACTTGGCATGTTCATTGTTGCTTGTTCTTTGGAATTTTTAATTTTGAGAAGTGTTACCACCTCCCCCCATTTGGGAACGTGGTGAAAATTCACCAAAGAGCACCCCACAGTTTCATATCAGTAAATTGAGGAGCAAACCTTGGTCAATCTAGGAGAGGGTTTTCCGATTGCCCAAAAATTGTTGCTCTGAAATGGATTTGTATCGCAATTTGCATGAGGTACAGAGAAACTTCCCTAAGACCCTCATTCTCCGTGACAGCAGGCAAACAGTCGTCCTGGACAGAGCTATCTCATCCACAAGGGGCCTCATCTAGCAACTTCTCTGCCTCTCTCTGGGTCAGCTAACTTGGCCCCGAAGGAATGAGCTCACACCAAGCACACACCCACAACTTCTGTTCAGCAGGCAGATAGGCATAAATGTGACATTTTGTGTAATACACTAGGTAGCCCCCAGCCCCAATCTGCTGCCTTTATTAAGTAAGCTTACTTGGGAGGTTGGGATTTGTTAGGAAAAAATATTGGCAGGGGTAGTAGTCTGCCCTTGACTCCTTGCCATGCTGCCAAACTCAGCTTCTTAGCTCACTTATTACCTTGGCTTGGCAATGGGGCTGAGATGGTGCTCACCTCTTGCTCATGGAACCACTTGGTTACCTGCAGAGTGAGAAATGGCTTTTCATACATGCATAGCACAGTGTGCTCCTGGCCACCTCTTTTGTTGAATATCAGAAGTGTTCTGTTCAAAAATTGAATATAGTGGTACCTTGGTACCCGAACAACTCGGCTCCTGAATGCCACAAACCCGGAAGTGAGTGTTCTGGTTTGTGAACATTTTCCAGAAGCCAAATGTCCAACGCGGCTTCTGTTTGAGTGCAGGAAGCTCCTGCAGCCAATCAGAAGCCGCACCTTTGGTTTTTGAACAGTTTCAGGTGTTGAACGGACTTCTGGAACGGGTTAAGTTCACCGTACATAGAAATTCAGTGTGATCTGGATTTTTCTTAGTTCTCTGGGTAAGAAGGCAACAGTCTTAAATAAGAAAAAGATCAAGATTTGAACCTGTAGCTTTCAGATATTGTAGTGATGACCGAAGCATTTGCTTGCATCTTGAAGTATTGATTAGCAGTGCTCATCAGAAATGTCAATCTTAGGACTTTGTCTCCCTTTCTGACTGCTTGCAATGGAGGGGTGTGTGTGTGTGTGTGTGTGTGTGTGTGTGTGTGTTTTCTGTTTCTACACCCTCCCTCAATCTTCCTGGCAATAAATCAAGCATGCAGATTGACAGCTGTGTCCGAGTACTTGTCCTTGGGATCTGCCTCATAGTCACATTTTGCTTTTGGAAGCTTAGCAAATGTAAACTTTTATGTAAGGTCTCTGATTGGAAATTACAAATGTATAATTTATATAGGTCTGAGTGAATGATTTATATCCTGTTAAGTGGTGATTTAGGTGGAAAATACAACCCCCACTTGCAGAATCTTTAATGAAAAGTGTCTGTTCTTACGAATTTATTTCTGAAGCAGTGTTTGAGCTCGGTGTGTTTGACATAAATCAGGTCTAATTGTCAGTTTGTGATTAATGAACATATGCTAGTCATCTCCCCCCCACCCCCATAATTGAACTTGTGTTCAATTCATCAGACAGAGCGCAACAGGTTTAGGCTTTGTCAGATTGTGTGCGTTTTCTAGCCCTTGATTTCAGAGAGGATGGCTTGGGGCTTCTCCTTTTTTTGAAACTGCAGAGGGATGGGAAAATGAGACTTTATTTGAAGGATAAGGTTTTTGGATTCAACAGGGCAGCTTGTCAAAATGTCAGTTGGATTGGCGAAGTCTTGGAATGCAAAGGCAACACAGTCCAGGCTGATCTGCTAGACCAGGGTTTCCCGAATTTGGGTCTCCAGCTGGTTTTGGACTACAATTCCCATCATCCCTGACCACTGGTCCTGGGCGTAAAATCTGTAGAGGTGTGGGAGGATTCCCATGTTCTATTTAAAATAGGTGACCAACAGTACAATCTGTTCTACAGTGCAATGTGGAACAAGTCCTGAAAGGTCAGTTTGTATATGAGAACCAGAAGCTCTCTTCCTTGCTCCCCCAACCTACCCCCCCCTTTTAAAAGAGCCTTCAAAAATTGCTGCCTCGTTAACACTAATAACCATTTCAGTAAGCCTAGTTCACATAGAGATATCTCCCTGCTATATTGCACAAAGGGATGGGGGGAGCACTTGGTTTGCCTGGGCAGTACAATTGTCCAAACCTAGGATGGAATAATTGTGCTGGATGGGACATCTGTGTAACTCCATGAGGGGGTGAATTGGGAGGGCATGCTAAATCAGGCTTGGCATCACACCTACTTTTTTGTTGGTAGTAAGGCATCTTTAGTTGTTCTAGACTTAAGTTATTTCATATTACTACAAAACTGTTAACCTTACTTGGTTAGATATGCATTTGCTGCAGGGGTGAGTGGCTTCTGTCTTTAATAGTTTACATTGAAAAACAAAGAAACACAGCCACAGCCTTGAATTCCCACGTTCCACTTGATATGTATTTAAATTTCTAAAGCAAGTGTGTGTACTTGGGATCTCTGTATAGTTAGGGTGTAATCTATCGTAAATATACAGTGGTACCTCGGGTTACATACGCTTCAGGTTACACACTCCACTAAGCCAAAAATAGTGCTTCAGGTTAAGAACTTTGCTTCAGGATGAGAACAGAAATCGTGCTCCGGCGGCGCGGCGGCAGCAGGAGGCCCCATTAGCTAAAGTGGTACCTCAGGTTAAGAACAGTTTCAGGTTAAGAACGGATCTCCAGAACAAATTAAGTACTTAACCCAAGGTACCACTGTATGTTTAAGAATATAAATTATTCCTTACTGGACCAGATCAAGATCCAGTTATGCAGCTTTCTTTGCAAAAATCCAGTTAACCAGATTGCTGTGATCCACTGAGAATTAGCTAGTAGCCCACATGCAGCACACCAACCCCTGATCGATATTTCTCCTTAGCAATTTTGCATTGATCATTCAATCTAACCAGTAGACTTCTGTTGTTTCAGGATATAGACAAGTTTGGCAACGAGATTACTCAGCTAGCTCGTCCACTCCCTGTGGAGTACCTAATCATAGATGTAAGTATCCGTTACGCTTTTCTTTTCTTTTACTTTTGCAGAGGGGAAATAAAAACGGGCTAACCTCACCCCAACACTGAAGTTGAAATTTTTCACTTTGTTCCTTTCTTTAGCCGCCCTGCCTTTGTTAGGAAGCTAAATGTTAGCAAGCAGCTCGTAAGTCAACGCGGTTTTATTTTGGACTAGTGGTGATGTGAAACTTCAGGAAAGCTTTTAGCCTCTTTGTTAGGTGCTGCTTGGAGCACCTCGCTGCTCTTGCGAAATGACATTTATCCATTAGATGAGTAGAAACTGTCACCCCCCCACAGAGATGCTGGTGATTACATCACCAGGAGCTTGTTAGCTAGTGTCGTTTGTACCTTTCACTGGAGTGATTAAGCAGTCTGCTGCTTATAGTGACCGAGCCAGACATGGTTTGACTGTCTGGCAGGAAAATGGGTGGCTTTCTGATGTGCAGTAAGGATATGTGTGCATGGTATCAAGGAGCAATAAATGGCCACGGAGCTTGGATTTAGCATTAAAATGATGGGAGGAAACTAGTCTACCAGATGGGAGCGTGTAGTAGTACAGTGATGATTCATCAGCAGACGATATGATAGTACAGGCACCGGTCTGATTCACTGCAGCAGCATGTAATATAGGCTGGAAACTTGGAACATGGTCCTCCTCCTTGTCCATGTATTTACATAGCTGCTCAAGCGTTGGGATACAGGCATTTAATGCCTGATTCATGCCACAGTGATGGCCATTGTGTTGAGCCTGCAAACTTCGTTTTCCAATTGACAGCCCAGAAACATATTTATTACCCAAGCAGCGAAGGCATCTGTGTGTGTGTGTGTTTTGGACTACCTGGGGTATAATTAAAATGAAAGGAGATTGACAGAACATGCACTTAGGAGGCGTCTGAAAAAAGAGACAAAACCGAATTCCTGAAGCCTCTCTTTACGGTTCTGCTTTTTTGTTATTCTCTAATGACTTGAGCTATTTCTGCAACTTTGGTTTTGGTTGCAAATTTTGCCGATCCCCGATTGAAAAGTCCTTTATCGGTATGGCTCCATAGAATTGCAGTTGGGATATGATAGCTATTCACTTTCAGATATAACAGCTCGTAATATTAGTCCGCCTTGGGCAACCAGTAGGAGAGCAAGCAAGCATGGTCTCCTCCCTGCTGGATCCAAAAATCACAGCCACCTCACATTAGCAAAGTTTACAAAACCTCCAGAAGATGATGTGATTTTATTATAAAAAACATGCAGTTTCAGGAAGGGCATTGCTAGTTTGAACTGCTGAAGACAGTATTCCTACCTTTTCTGCATCAGAAGATGGACCTATTCTAGAACAGCCAGTTCAAGCTTGCATGTTCCTGAATCAGCCGTGCTTTTTGAAAATGAATTCCTTGTTGCACTCTGCTTGTTTAGCCATGCATGCTGAAGTATCTCCTTGGGAAATAAGGTGGGCGTTAGATTGAGGCCTAAGCATGGAACCCAATGCAAGAAATAAGGCAGTCATCATCTCAACCTTTTTTTTCTTTTCTTTTTAAATTTAAGATTACTACTACGTTCCCCAAAGATCCAGTTTACACATTTTCTATTTCTCAAAATCCATTCCCTATTGAGAATCGTGATGTTCTGGGAGAAACTCAGGTATGTGCAAATCATATTTGGGGTGCCAGGGTAGGATTGGGGGGAGGGCTTTAAACAATTTAACTGACTTTAATGTTTAAAGATCATAGGATGTTGTGCAAAACAATAACAACAATGGTTGGTTGCAAATGCTAAGTAGTCTAAAAAGCTCCCATTTGCAGTTGGTTATTGTGCTGAATTTGTGTGTGGGAGTAGCAGTTCTGTGGGGAGAAATTGCATGTAATCACATAAAATGTACTCTTAACTGTGAAGTATGTACATCAGAAGTCAGAACGTGGCTTGCGTAGATGATTGTAAGAGAAACGTTCTTGCACAATTCCTCATTTTCCCCTTAGAAACAGAAATGTTGCATTTTGCATCCCAATAATAGGTCTCCCCAATGCACACAAGTATTTGTAGGTGTATGCCCCTTCAGCTAACCTCTTGCCTACTACTGCTTGGGCAAAAGGTCCCCTGCAGTATATGGCGGAAGGAAAAGCATGAACACTGTGAAGAAAGAGCTGCGCTTGGGAGAGATGACACCCTAATCTGCCTTGCCCTTTCTGTTCCTGCTGCGGACACAATTTGAGCTTGTGTCTGTGGAATTGCTGGGTCTAGAAACAATTAAGCCTAGCTCAGCTTTTCATTCTAGTTATCCTGGCGACTCCTGTCAGCCAGCAAGGTCCACATATAAGTAAGTACATTTTTATTTATACCCCGCCCTCCTCAGCCAAGACATATCAAGGCATATCAAATACATTAAAACACAATCAAACAATTAAGATACAGCCTAAAAATTAGAAACAGGATACAATTAAATTGACTGCCCATGAATTACAACCATGGGGGCCGAGAACCTCAAGTATTCATCAGGGCCAGCTATCCATGTTGGTCCCACATGAGCCGATAAAAGGGCCAAAGAGGTAAATTACAGGGTCCCATAGGGGGGGGGGGAGACAAACTGGGCCCGGATCGAAGGCCAGGCGGAACAACTCCGTCTTGCAGGCCCTGCGGAAAGATGTCAAGTCCCGCAGGGCCCTGGTCTCCTGTAATAGTGTTTCCATCAGGCTGGGGCCAAAGCCGAAAAGGCCTTGGCCCTGGTTGAGGCCAGTTTAACCTCCTTGAGGCTCGGGACCTCCACGATATTATTATTTGTGGACGCTAAGGTCCTCCATGGGGCATACCAGGAGAGGCGGTCCCGTAAGTACAGCCTTGTGCGTGGAACGTCCTTAGTTTAAGCCTCTGGTTAGAAACAGTGAATGCAAGTTGAAAAGTAGTGTGTCTGTCCCTAGCTGCCCTTGGTGGCTGTTTCAAGTAGCTAATGGCAGATGCTTTTGAAGAATACTGAGCAAGATCAAGAATGGTCTAAACTTTCTCTGGTGCTCTGTCCATTCGTTGTTGTTTTTCTGATTGTTTTCATATCAGAGAGAGAACAAGTAGCTTAGTACAGAAAGGAATTGCAGGTATATTCTGGTTGGGTTGGGGATATTACAGAACTTGGGGTCTTTTCCCCAATGCATTCTTTTGACTTGCTAGGACAGTACCAGCCATTTATTCACTCCTGTCGATGAGAGATCTGGTGTCATTTCACATCCCCTTATTCCTACATCTGAATAAAAATAATTGCTCTCTTGATTTGAGAATGTGTCCTGGTAGAGCTTCATTGACCAGAGTGATTAATCTGACAGGTTTTTATTACTACCATTGTTATTTGTTTGCAACTTTTTTTACAGAAAAAACTCTGAATGACTTAACGCGAAAGTTAAAAACAATTAAAATTGGAAAATGTAAAACAATGTATCGTATTAGATAGGGGTAGATAGTAGAGGCACCGGTCGTTTTAGGCGCATTCATTGCATGTGCAGCCATGCACACAAGCATCACCACAACCTGGAAATGGTCAGGAAAGGAGGCAGGGCAGAGTGGGCTGGCATGCGCTCCGTTGCTGCATTTGGAGGTCAGGAACGCACACTCCTCCCCACGCAAAACAGTCATTCCCTGTAGTGCTGCCTATACCGACCAATCCTGAGAACACTGAAATGCTTATCCTTTTTACAATTTCTACAGGACTTCCACAGTCTGGCAACTTACTTGTCCCAGAACACGTCCTCAGTGTTCCTCGACATCATCTCCGATTTCCATCTGCTCCTCTTCTTGGTCACCAATGAAGTGATGCCTTTAAGGGTATGTAATGAGAAGGAAGTTAATTCTGGTGAACGGTGCGAGTTCTTGCAAAGGGAGTTCTGTATATTTAAGGGGATGGGCACCTCTGGCCTCCACACAGTGTACCTTGCTTGCAGGCAGAAAGCTACATGCTTCTCTTTACATTCGCCTTCAGGTAGTTTGGTAAGGCATCTTTTCTCAGACACCACAGGCTGCCCTATCTCTTGAAGTGCCTCTTCAAGGTTGGTGGCAAAGATGCTCGTGGGATTTAAGTGTGGCAATCTCAGCTTGGCCTTTGTGTTGTTTTGTATTGGTATGTTCTTGGACAAGACAAGAGCCAACTTGGATGTTACACTGACAACCGGAAGCACTTCATTTAATTTCTCTGAATCAGAAATTCCTGCAGTAAACCACTGCATGATCAGTTGCCCAGTTTTACCAAGACCAGCAACTTCCTGTGTTTGCGTCTCCTCCCATGCCTCCGCCCTCTTTTTATTGGCTGGGCAGCTGGCAAATATAACATCTGGAATGCTCTTCATCCCCCCCCCAAAGTAAACACCAAAGGGGGGGTGACCAAGCCCTGTGCCATGTATGGAGAACTGCAAACATTCAGCATTTGCAGAACAGCTGGGTCTACCAGTAGGCAACTGGAGAGCAGGAGCAGTCAGATATGCTTTGTGTTAGATAACAAGACAAACACCGAACAATGTATTTCCTCCCTTATTAATACTGTTTTTTTAAAAAAACAAAAAACCTGAATACTTACATTTAGTGCAAAAAGGTGGGGCAAGTGTGGTGACAAGATAGGCATGTAGCCCATAAAAATAGGGGAGGTACTTAACATTTTCACTGCATTTTGTCTTTTGGGGTCATTTGCCAGTTTCTGAATTGGGCTGATGTACAGAATTCACACTCAAAAGTCTTTAAGTCTGCACCTCTGAAGTGGCCTCTAGCGCCCTCTGCTGTTTGGAGCACAAGATGTCCCCCTTCAGCTAAGGCATCTTCATACAGCCAGTTGCCACTTGCATGTGGCAAGTTGCGGTTGCTGAAAAACGAATGCATGAAAGAATGCAGCTGTACTGCAACCCACCATTCAAACTCACTGCTGCCACTGCCACTGCGGTCTGGTTCCTCGGGTGCTGTCCTGGCTGGTTGAGGAGTTCACACTGACAGTTCCTTTCCCCCAAATACAGCACCGTACCATGCAGGGTTGTGTTTGATGTGTGTGCGGCTCATCTTCTTGTTTTATAGCATGAGTAGGCAAGCTAAGGCCCAGGGGCCGGATCCAGCCCAGTCACCTTCTAAATCTGGCCCGCGGATGCTCCGGGAATCAGTGTGTTTTTACATAAGTAGAATGTGTCCTTTTTATTTAAAATGCATCTCTGGGTTATTTGTGGGCATAGGAATCTGTTCATTTATTTTTTTCAAAATATAGTCCGGCCCCCCCCACAAGGTCTGAGGGACAGTGGACCCGACCACCTGCTGAAAAAGTTTGCTGACCCCTGTTTTATAGGGTTGCTGGCCCTTTAAGCTGGAAGGGAGGTAGAGAGCACGCCTGAGATGGCACTGGGATGCTGTTAGATTGTTGGAAACTGAAGTGTATCTTTACTGCCAGTCAACACAAGCTTTTCTGCTTGCCTGATGAGACAATCAGCCATCTCTCCCCCAGCCCCATGTGCTTCTTCTGGGACTCTTCCAACCCTCCCCCAGAGCCAGCTTGGGTGTATGGGGAAAGGGCGGGGAGCCCCACTGTGATATTGGTAGTCTTTGTGGGGACGTTCGCTGGCAAGACTACTTAGCTGTGTCTGGCCCTACAGATGTGTTCTTTGAAAGGATGCCTTATTGTTAAACAAGCAGTCATGTTACCACTACGGTTGGTGGATTTGGGGAGGTGGGGGCAGCTCTGGAGAAAAGAGATTCTTCCTGAACAGCCCCACGTGTCCTTGAGGTAAATGGGATTAGCTGTGACCTGACCCATCATCTCTCTTCCAGGATAGCATCAGCTTGTTGCTGGAGGCAGTCAGGACTCGGAATGAAGAGCTTGCACAGACTTGGAAGAAATCTGAGCAATGGGCCACCATTGAACAGCTTTGCAGTATGTCATGTCTTTTCCCTTTGATACTAGGATTTGGGCACCTCTGCAGAGATGCTGGAGAGCTTTGGTTTTATCTGTTATCAGATCACCCAGGGGTGTGATTTGGTGTCTGAGTTCCCTCAGTCACTTGGGGGCGGGGGGAGATCTCAGTAAGAAGGAAGGGGCTTGAGCAAGGATAGCAGTCTCCCTGGCCAAAGGAAAGAAATATTTGTGAAACAGTCTGCGGGCAAATGTGTAATCCTTGTGGATAAACAACTCAGTGAACTTGATCTAGTGCAGGAGAGCAAATAAAGTCTCTCACAAATAATACTATGAGGGGATTCAAAGCTGTACAGACCTTGCAGAAGAGGAGAAAATATAGTTGGCATATAGTAAAGGTAAAGGGACCCCTGACCATTAGGTCCAGTCATGACCGACTCTGGTTGCGGCCGGCGCTCATCTCACTTTATTGGCTGAGGGAGCTTCCGGGTCATGTGGCCAGCATGACTAAGCCGCTTCTGGTGAACCAGAGCAGCACACGGAAACGCTGTTTACCTTCCCTATTTATCTACTTGCACTTTGACGTGCTTTCAAACTGCTAGGTTGGCAGGAGCAGGGACCGAGCAATGGGAGTTCACCCCGTCGTGGGGATTTGAACAGCCGACCTTCTGATCAGCAAGTCCTAGGCTCTGTGGTTTAACCCACAGCGCCACCTGCATCCAGTTGGCATATAGCTCTGCACAAACTAGAGAAAGCTACCCTTTTCTGTAATGTTCAGCTGAAAATTCCCGCACTTTGTCAGAGCTTTCCTAATCCCCCTCCTGATTCTTGTTGTGTTTTTTTTAATCCCTTTTTCTAGGCACAGTTGGAGTTCAGCTTCCAGGACTCCAAGAATACGGTGCCATGGGTGGTTCGACACACGCCACAACCTCCGCCATGTGGGCCTGCCAGCACTGCACCTTCATGAACCAGCCGGGCACAGATCACTGCGAGATGTGCAGCCTCCCACGTAGCTAGGCCCCCTCTCGGCTTAGCATTCGGGGCAGCCCTTACAGACCAACTGGCGGAAATACAGAGGCAAACCCTTAGCCAGGCGGGGGACTGTTCTTCCTCCTGGGATGACGCACCCTGAGGGTCGGGGCAGGTGGGGGAGGGGCGGGGAGCGACCCACGTCGTGGGCACTCGGTGCCATCCAGCGGGTGACAGCTTGCCGGTGGAACTGGATGTTTTAGGGGGAGGGATATGGCACAGCCCCTCTGCCCGGCCCTGCTGCCTTGTCTTTTCTTTGCCCTCAGTATTGTAGAAAGCCAGCCAGTGGTCATGTTTCCCTGGAGCTGCCGTCGCGCAACCCCGTGGGCACATGGCAGTGTGGTCATGCTGCGCCCGCCCCGCCCCCAATCAGCTTGCATGCCACAAGCTTCCCCCAGCCTTAAGCCAGTCACAGTGAGGCAAGGCAGTTGTGTTGAAGGGGTCAATTGGGTCCCCAGGCTAGCTTGCCTGATGTTGCTCCCTTGACATGCTTTTTGCATTTAGCCCCAGAATCGCTGGGTCCCTGGTGCCTGCGTCACTTCGGTCCAGCCTCTAATTAGAGCTTCCAAATTGAGTGGCCTGCACTGGCAGAACCTACAGTTGCTTTGTAGCCCCCCGGGCTAAGTCCCAGACCGACTATCTCGGCTAGAGAGGAAGAGGAGGAGAGAACACACTTCTCAACTTGGTAGGGTGTCTACAGTCGTCCAGCCCAGCCGCAATGGCCACAGATTTAAAGAGCTCTATCAAAACAGCTGTCTCCTGGTGCTTCTCAGCTAGAGCTAGGTAACAGAGGGCCATTCTTGCCCAAATCGGGCAGTGGGGACCAGCTGGCTTCCCAATCTGGAAGCGGGTCGCAATTTGGCGGCATCCTCCTGGCTGTTTCAGGGTTGGGCAGGCAGTTCGCGAGCAGTTTGCTTGCCCCAGATTTCCATAATGCTGTCATCCCTTTGCATTTAAAGCCAATTCCTGGTCTTTGTAGCTGTGAGCAGGCAAACCTCGCAAGTACCTTTCCTCGTGCCTGTTAGCGACTTAAATAGCATCCCAGCAGGGAAAGCTAAATGGAACGTTTGTCGGCATCTTGAAAGGAGCTTTGTCTTGCTGCAGCGCGATCCAGGCAAATTGCAGCCGAGGCGCTGGAAATTCTCCTGCCTCCAGAACACTTACCTGCCTCCTCTTCCCATAACCACATTTTTAGCAGTTCCCTCGAGCTCCTCATGTCTTTTGATGTGTGAGCTCCTCCATTGCCATACAGAGATGTGCTTTCATTGTCCAAAAATTCCCAGCACCTCTGCCAGCAGTGTTAGGGCACATTTGGTTCCTCTTGCACAGCAGTATTTCTGCACCTAACTAGCCTGTTCATCCCCTAGGCAACTCCCATCAGTTTTATAGCAGAGAAGCAAGGCATTCATGCCATCCATTGGGTTATGGGGACAGAGGGCATCCCGTAATTTTTATCTTGTTAGATGCCCACCCCAGCAAAATGTGCCTCCACCCCAGCTACCAGTTTTCTTTATGGGCCTGTAGGCCTGGCTCCCAGACAGCTGCCATGAGCGATGCAGTCTCTACCTTTCCATGGCTGGAAATACCTAGGGCTTTGACCGTCAGGTGTTTGAACCAATACTTCACCTGGCCCTTGTTACTGCTGACAGGACATGCGACTCTCTTCTTTCCTGGGTTTGTGTTTTGACTAGATTCCTTGAGCTCACCGGGCTGTAGCTACTCTTGCTATTCCTTTTCATTCTATGGGTTGCAGAGGTGTGTGTTTGGTTTGGACTGGAGTTGACTGAATAACAGCCCTGCAAATAAAAAAATATATTAAAAGCGTCTGAAATGGAAGCCTCCTGGTCTGTTCTTTTGCCCGCCTTGTCCTCTTGTGTTTGCTTTTCTTCCCATCCGTTTTGAACTTGTGCAGCTCTTGGATTAACAGAGCTTTCCCCAGACAAAGCTTTGAATATTCTTCAGGGCAGTGCCCCAGTGAGAATCTTTTGATCCGAGCTCCCCACTTCAAACCTTGTAGTCCTTGCCTGCCGTAAATGCTTGCTAAGGACTTTGGCAACTGCAGGAGGGGAGCAAAATGTGGCATTTCAGCAGCCCTTCTGCTGAAGATGGTGAAGCTTTGTCTAGAGAAAAACAGTACAGTGGTACCTTGGTTGTCGAACTTAACCCATTCTGGAAGTTCGTTCTGGGAGTCCATTCGACTCCCAAAACGGTTCAAAAACCAAGGTGCTGCTTCCAATTGGCTACAGGAGCTTCCTGCACTCGATCAGAAGCCGTGTTGGACGCTCGGCTTCCGAAAAACATTCGCAAACCGGAACACTCACTTTGGGAGCTGATTTGTTCGGGAGCCAAGCCGTTTGACAACCAAGGTACCACTGTACTAGGCAAAGCTTTAGTATCTCATCTCCATTTCTTCAGAGCTCTACCAAGCAAAGCATACAGTTGTCACTTAGGTGTTTATAGTGTAGCTTTAGATCAGCCTCTCTCAACCTGTGGGTCCCCAGGTGTTGAACTACAACTCCCATCACTCCCAGCTAGCAAGGCCACAGCTCAGGGATGATGGGAGTTGTAGTCGAACAACATCTGCGGACCCACAGGTTGAGAACCGCTGCTTTAGATGAAGAGCTCACTTGAGTAGTCTAAGAGGGGGAAGCTTAGAAGGATCTCACTGAAAGTGCTTTGCAAGCCAGTCTCCCTTGTTTTGACTTTGTTTCTGCCCATACAACAAAGTGGCAGCAAAACATTTTAAATTGTAAAAGGGATTGTTTTATTGTAAAACACTCAATATTCCTCAGACTTGCAACTTAGAATTTGTTAGGCTTCCTGAACCTTACATGCATCCTGCCCAACATCAGTTGTCCTGGCTACAGCAGAAGTAGGTGAATGAGTGAGTTGCTTCTTCCAATGTACAGTTTTGTTAATTGGCTTCAAGGAACAATGGGCTTGCGGGATTCTTGGGTTTTCAACTCTCATTTGACCATGGCTTTTTTAGGAGTCAGACTTTTAATTTCGAATGTTTACAAGGGGAGGTAGTGAGTTTGGGCTGAAAGTTGGAGTGGGCTAATTCAGTACTAGCAGGGACTGTGAGCAGCTTTAATACTTATTTTTCAGAGAGTGGATTCCAGAGAGCCGGATTTCTGACTATTCAAAGCATACGCAATGGAAATAAGAGTGCCCAATACACACACACACACACACACTGACTAGTAGGGATCCCCTGCAGCCTCCAGCATGGACAATTTCACATCTAGTTTGTTCCCAAATTGCCAAGTGGCAACTTGCCATAATTCTGAAAAATTGCACTAGCAATGGGGTGTAAGGTTAGGTCCAGCTTGTGAAATCCTTTTTAAGATATTATGGACTTGGAAGCTGCTCAATATAAAGCTAAAAGAGAATTCTATAGGCAGACATGGGTTGTCTGGATTTCTATGAAGTGTCCCAACACTTGAACCCTTCACCCAAAGCCCATTAGCTTTTGAAAGTTGCCTTTCTTGTACACATATCAACTGGCTTTGAAGAAAACTCCCTTGTTTGCATACATGCAGTAAATCCCCCTTCAGCAAGATAACTGTATTCCTGCTTTTGCCCTGGGCAGTTTGCAGTGCCAGCTTTCTAGGAAAATTGTGACCTGGCCCTGTCCAGATTTTAGGTTCTGGAAAGGGTCTTAATGCTGGGCAGAGCCCTAGCAATAAACGATGTTGCCACCCTCAAACACTGTCACTTGGCAGAAAAGGAAATGACACAGGAATGAGCTGGCAATTTCTGTCCCGTAAAGAAGGCCAGCATCCAAGATGACAGCTGAATTCTGGAATATCCACCAAAGCATTGACTTCAGAGTAAATGGGATTCTTGAAGCTGGAGAGAACTTGAGACAGGTAGAAAAGCCACATATTGATGAGCATATGCACTTCCACTCCACAGCTCCTGTGAAGACCCACCATACCCTAAGTGAAAGAGATGAAGTTCAAGAGAAAGGTCAGAACCTCTTCTGATGAATATTTCACTCCATCCAAAAGAAAGCAAGTTCTGGGAGGGGTTGTTTTCTTCTTGTAGCCCTTAGCAGAAGGGCAGGGAGCCTGTGGTCCTCCCAAATGTTACAAGGCTCCAGCTCCCATCATCCTTGATCATGCTGATGGGTGTTGGGAATCCAAAGACCACATGTTCCCTGCCTCTGCCTTAGCATCAACCTTGGACTCCCAAATCCAACTTGTTGCAGAGGGATTGGATTGCAAACTTTCTCTGAAGCTCTGTAACAAACCAAAGACAGTTCAATTGGGCAGGAGAGAGCTCTCTTACCCTCTTGCGCCACGTGTCTGTGTCCTGAATTGTACTTTTGCAATTTCTGGGAGTTGTTCCACTGTACTGTAAGCTTCCTCCTTCCTCCTTCCTCCTTCCTCCCCCCCCCCTTTTGAAGGAAACAAGCCATGGCCTGGGGGCCTCTCAATAGGCCCAAAGGATCTGTTTGCAATTAGAAGACTGCTGTGTGGCTTGGCAGAATTCCAGGGCAGCTTGGCTATAAGGCGAAGAGAGGCAGACCTTGGCCAGAGAGAGAGCGAGAAGAAAACCCTTGGACTTGAAAGAGCAACTGCCACAATTTACCATCTCTGATTCTCTGTTCAACAGGTAAGAAGTTTCTCCTTTTTTTGCAGTCTATAAACCTAGTTCTGAGCATTGTTGGCTCTCAAGCTACTTGGGGAGAACGTTCTCTAAAGGGGTTGCCGTGTTTGTGGGGTACCCTTTAAAAGGTAAAGGGACCCCTGACCATTAAGTCCAGTCGCGGACGACTCTGGGGTTGCGGCTCTCATCTCGCTTTACTGGCCGAGGGAGCCGGTGTTTGTCCGCAGACAGCTTCTGGGTCATGTGTCCAGCATGACTAAGCCACTTCTGGAGAACCAGAGCAGCGCACAGAAACGCCGTTTACCTTCCCGCCGGAGCGGTACCTATTTATCTACTTGCACTGGTGTGCTTTCGAACTGCTAGGTTGGCAGGAGCAGGGACAGAGCAATGTGGGCTCATCCCGTCACAGGGATTTGAACTGCTGACCTTCTGATCGGCCAGCCCTAGGCTCAGTGGTTTAGACCACAGCACCACCCGTGTCCCTTGGGGTACCCTTTGCTAGTGCCAGATCTCTGCCTCCTATTCGGATGCAGTTCCCAGCAGTGTCTCCTGTATGTTCTTGGGGCCCATTGCAGTGGCTCTGATGTCTTGGAAGAGAATTAATAGAGGAGGCAAGCAAGGGTCCGAGGATGAAGACAGCACACAAAAGTTCTGAGCTGTCGTACTGGCTGTTCTTAGCCTCTCATCCAAGCAGCTTGTCAGCACATAAATCACAGGAAAGAATGGAGTTAACATCCGAGAAGATTCTAGTGTATCCAGCCCTGCAAAGTATCTGCTGTTTCTTCATGTGTTGGATTAAAATGGTGGGGTCACCCTTGAGATCACGGGTAGGAAGCAGATGCAAGCAAAGGATAAGCCAACATTTTCCAGCAACCAAGCAAAAGCATGTTGAGCAACCCAGATAAACAGCCTGACTACGCAGATAATTATTGTTGGGCCGGTCAAAATGAAGAGAGCCTTCTGTTACTGGTCCCAAGGCTACAGATTAGAAATTCTGCCTTGCTCCTTGTCTGTAGTCGCTACTGTAGATACAGGTTTGGTATGTATCCTGTCCAATGCTGCCAGCCCTTCTCAGCTCTGTCTCCACTACAAGGATGTATGTAGCAAATGCTTTTCTGGCTGCTCCAGACCCTCCAAGTGTCCCTATTTTCCAGGGACAGTCCCAGATTTACAGAAGCCACCCCAGTTTCTGATATGATCCCAGAATGTCCCACTTTTCCTTTGTTGTTTAGTCATTTAGTAGTGTCTGACTCTTTGTGACCCCATGGACCAGAGCACACCAGGCACTCCTGTCTTCCACTGCCTCCCGCAGTTTGGTCAAACTCATGTTAGTAGCTTCAAGAACACTGTCCAACCATCTCGTCCACTGCCGTCCCCTTCTCCTTGTGCCCTCAATCTTTCCCAACATCAGGGTCTTTTCCAGGGAGTCTTCTCCAAAGTATTGGAGCCTCAGCTTCAGGATCTGTCCTTCCAGTGAGCACTCAGGGCTGATTTCCTTAAGAATGGATAGGTTTTATCTTCTTGCAGTCCATGAGACTCTCAAGAGTCTCCTCCACCAGTTTTCCTTAGGACGTCCCTATTTTCATTGGAGAAATGTTGGAGGGTATGGAGTTATGCGACCCCCAAGCCAAAGAGATAAGTAATTATACAACCTTCAGAAGACATTTTTTATATAGTAGAAACCACCCAGAGTGGCTGGGGCATTAATAATAAAATTATTCTTATGAAATAGGTAGGACGCCCCTATTTTCATCAGAGAAATGTTGGAGGGTATGCCTTTCTCTCCTCCCCCAAATGAGAGTAGAAGGTTTAATGCCATACTTGTGGGTACACAACATTGGCATGTTTTGTCCAAGGTGGCATGGAAACAACTCAGGAAAACCTGGGTCCAGATACTTGCATCACTGGTTCAAACCACTGGGCCGCATTCCCTTTGTGCCTGACGCACACAGACTTGCCGGGATCTGACCTATAAGTGGACACATGCGAATGTGACGTTGCTATGGCTGCAGAGCCAGAAAGGCCCTTTTTCCCTCCCCTGTTCCATTTGGTATGAACAGCTTGTGACCATCCCGGCTGGGAAATGTCCATATGGGAGCCGTCAAAGCGATAGGGGTGAGGAAAGGGGACTGTTGTTGCGGAACTAGTACTTGGGGAAGGGAGGCTTCTCTGACGCATTTTCCCTTCTCCTGTCCCTCTGCAAAGGCACCATGAGACAGATC